GGGAACCCAACTGGAACGGTCAATTCTCTTGTTGCTTTGATCGCGCGTCTAGAGGGAGCGAGGACCGAACTGCGAGGTCGTTTAGTTCATACTGGTGCAGGTCACAATGGATTTACATGGTTGGAGATTGAGACAGCTTTTCGGAGGCGGGTACTCACAGGTGCGGTAATCAATTCCCGCTACATTGAGCCTAGACGATTTCTCGAGGACGCTAGAGACATGGTGATTGAGAAGGTACGCGAGAATATGGATAGACACGCTTGTGTGAAAATCAACACAGTGTTCAATGGGGAATTCGTTGCGAATAAAAAGACTGCTGTAAAGAGCATCACCACGAAAAACCGACAGCTTTTTCCTACCACGGATCTGTTTGAATGGTACAAGACTGTGATCGATACGACTTTGGCTGCATTGGAGGAGTTTCAGGAGCGTGACAGTGGGTGGGCGTTGTCACGCATAATGAATTTAATGATTAATGTTAACAGATGTAATCCTATGCGTGTTGGATGTTGGATTGATATGCCACCAGTGATAAAGTTGAAGAGAGCGGTCGTGAACGTGAAATCACTGGATGACGCATGTTTCGCGTGGGCTGTGGTTGCGGCTTTGTATCCTGCTGAGAAGCATACCTCGAGATGTAGTCAGTATCCCGATTATCAAACGGTGTTAAAGCTCGATGGAATAGACTTTCCTATGACCCTGAAACGAATTTCACGATTCGAACGTTTAAACGATATGTCCATCAATGTGTTTACCATGAAGGATGAAAAAAGGATGGAACGATCGTTCCTCTGCGTCTCACTGATCATAAAAGAGATATTTATATAAATTTGCTGTATCTGTCGGATACGCGTAACTACGTTCACGAGGGTCATTTCGCGTGGATAAAGAATTTATCGCGATTGGTTGGAAGTCAGTTATCCAGAGGAAAGCACAAGAAGTATATTTGCGATCGGTAAGTACCTCGAGAGAGAGAGAGAAATGTGAATTGTTTACATTGTATAATGCATTCCAGATGTCTGCATTACTTCCACTCGAGGGAACGATTGTCCATTAACATCGTGGATTGCGAAAGGATGAACGAATGCGCGATCGTTCTTCCGAACGAGGATGACAAATGGCTCGACTTTCGCAACTACGAACGAAAAGAGAGACTTCCCTACGTGATAAACGCCGATTTGGAGTGCGCGTTAGAGAAGGAGGAGGAGGAGGAGGAGAGCGAATTAATACCACGAAACAGATTTACTTATCAACATCATACAGCATTCAGCGTTGGCTACTACTTGCGATGTGTACGAGACAAGAATGCGTCGACGTACAAATTTTATCGTGGTGAAGATTGCATATCATGGTTCGCGCGAGAATTGAACGCTCTCGCGCATCGCGCGAAGGAGACTCTCGACGCGATCGTGTCTATGACGCAGGTCACGTCAGACGAGGAGCGTAGCTTTTGGAACGCGACTCTTTGTCATATATGTGAAAAACCGTTTGACACGAGGGATCAACGCGTGCGTGATCATTGTCACATAACCGGGCGTTACAGGGGTCCGGTTCATTCGCGTTGTAATCTAAATTTCAAAACGTCTTTCGTAATTCCTGTATTTTTTCACAACCTCTCAGGTTACGATGCGCACTTTATCATCAAAGAGATCGCTAACAGTTTCGAGGGTAGAGTAGAATTGTTACCGTTGACCAAAGAAACGTACATCTCGTTCACGAAAGGTGTTCAGAATACGTCGCTGAGGAAGGGGGACACTTGTGTGAAACTGCGATTTGTAGATTCGTTTAAATTCTTAGGGGCCAGTCTCGCGAAATTGGTGTCGTACCTAGACAAGAACGAACTGCTAATAACACGGTCGGCGTTCTCGAATCTCGATGACAATGATTTCGAATTGCTCACGCGCAAGGGTACGTTCCCGTACGAGTATGTTGATAGCATCGATCGGTTGCTCGAAACCGAGTTACCATCCCGTGAGGCTTTCTACAGTTCGCTGACCGGTGAGAGCGTCAGCGATAACGATTACGAGCACGCAGTCAATGTGTGGCAACGTTTCCGCATTAGTAATCTTGGCGAGTATAGCGATTTATATTTGAAAACAGACGTTCTGTTGTTGGCAGACGTCTTTGAGAATTTTCGCGACAAATGCATACGGAGTTACGATTTGGATCCCGCTCATTATTACACGTTACCGGGGTACACGTGGGATGCTATGTTGAAACATACGGGTGTTCAATTCGAATTGTTGACCGATATCGATATGCTTCTCTTTGTTGAACGTGGTGTACGCGGTGGTCTGAGTCAGTGTTCCAACAGATACGCGCGAGCTAATAATAAGTATCTTTCGTCACACGATCCGTTGAAACCGTCGACATATCTCATGTACTATGACGTGAATAATCTCTACGGATGGGCTATGTGTGAATCATTGCGGTACGCGCAATTTCAATGGGTCAGCGACGTGGAGAGTCTAGACGTAATGTCGGTGACCGCGGATTCCGATATCGGCTACATTATGGAGGTGGATCTTGCGTATCCGCGCGAGCTCCACGACCCCCACGCGGACCTTCCGTTCTGCCCAACGCGCGCCTCACCCCCCGGCAAGGTTACCGATAAGCTTCTAGCGAGGCTTCACGATAAGTCGCGCTATGTCATACATTATCGCAATTTGCAGCAATGTGTGCGTTATGGGATGCGTATACTTAAAATTCATCGCGTTTTACAATTTGCACAATCACCATGGCTGCGTGGATACATCGAACTGAATACAATGTTTAGAACTCGTGCGAATAACGAGTTCGAGAGAAATATGTATAAGCTTATGAACAACGCGGTTTACGGGAAGACAATGGAAAACGTGCGCGAGCACGTTGACGTGCGTCTTGTGACGCGTTGGGAGGGAAGGTACGGAGCGGAAGCGCTAATTTCAAGACCGAATTTCCACAGTAGAAGCATTTTCTCCGAGGATCTGATGGCCGTTGAGTTACGGAAACTGGAGGTAAAGCTCGTGAAACCAATCTACGTTGGCATGGCCATTCTGGAGATATCAAAAACGCGATTATACGATTTTCATTATGATTATATGGCGCCCTTGTATCGCGGTGTGTGTAAGGTAATGTACACAGATACGGACAGTCTGATTTATTTCGTCGAATGTGACGATATTTATGAGGATATGAAACGCTCCATTGAAAGATTCGACACGAGCGACTATGCCGAGAACAACGCGTACGGTATGCCGCGCGCGAACAAGAGCGTTCCGGGTCTGATGAAGGATGAGAATCGTGGCGCGATTATGATAGAATTCGTAGGTTTGAGAGCGAAGATGTATGCCGTGAGAGTGCTCGGAATGAGCGACACGAAAAAAATAAAAAGGGTGTAAAGAGAAACGTAGTCGAGAGAACGATAACGTTCGACGATTGCATGCAATGTTTGCATGATATGACGAAGCAGTCGAGATCGCAATTCTGCGTGCGGTCGAGACTGCATGAGGTGTACACCGTTTCCGAAACGAAACTCGCTCTCAGTCCTCACGACGACAAGCGATACGTCATGCTCGAATCCTACGATACTTTGCCTTGGGGACATTACAGGGTGCCATAATAATAATACATATATATAAATTTATACCTTTATTGCATACATGAATAAAAGCTTTTGTTATAATACATCTGTTTTGCGTATCCATGAATTGTGTGAATTATCCATTCCTAGCCACTTTACGTATACCTCATTACCCTTTCTACGTAGAACCTTTTCCACTAGATAAACGTCGGGATTGGCGACTCGTGACAATTCGTGCTCGTAGAAACCCCCAGCTATTGGTTGTCCGCGATAATCGTTCAATAGATACGTCACAGGATTAGTCTGTTGTACTTTGGCGATGCGAAATATTTCTGTAGTCCAGTTGGGTGTGTAGCCTTTTTTGAATATCGTTTTGAATTTGCTCACGCGTACCGCGTCATCGATCTTGAATCTTCCTGGAGCGGCATCTTCGTTCGACTGTACACCGTTGACAAGAGTCTCTCAGCAGCTTCAGGTGTCACGTCTACAGGTCGC